ATTATCATTATTGCGTTCTGAGCAGAGCTCTCCCTGTGGTGGGAGATGGTGGACCTGCTGGCGCCGTACACCACCGCGGAGATGCGACAGCTGAGGAGGAGCTACCAGGAGATTGCCTCAGGGACCGGCGCTGCAAGGCCCAGGTGACAGAGCTGTTACCGCCACTAGGGCTGCCACCGTCTCTGCTGCATAGCATATTCACTTGGCTCTCGATGCGTCCCTGTTAATTTTGACGAAACAGTCCGCAAAATGAAACCAATTTTGTATATTTGAAAAGAAATAAAATCTTATCGAGGAGTGCTACCGAAGTTTGGGGAAAAGAGAGAAGGGGAACTCGCACGACAGTATGTGTGGACGGCCTTAATAGGGGAGTTCACGTGATTGCGTGTGCCAGCCCGCCTTAGTGATTCCCTTTGACGCGAGACCCTCTGCGCTGCCCCCTACTCTGTACTGCTACCTGTGTCAGTTTGGCAAAAGTGAGACTGTATGCCAACGTAATTGCTAGAGCAAGCTTATGACTGTACAAGGTGAAATATCTAATATCAACGGAAATAAATATATAAAGGAGGAAAGAGGGGGGGGGGGGCACGTTTCCTTCTGGTAGAGACAGTCTTAAAGGGACTGTCTAAAAGGGTGTTTAATGCATCAGTGATCTCTGATGCACCTCCTATTCCGCAATGAACTTCATTCATTCATTCATTCATTCATTCATTCATTCATTCATTCATTCATTCATTCATTCATTCATTCAACATGCTTTTCTGCAGGGAGATGGTCTGCACGGAGTCGGTGAACAGCTTGATGGGCATGGCTGTGAGCTACGGCATGGCGGATGTTGCCTACCTCAGGACCGTTGGGGAAAAGGTAAATCTGGAATTCAATGTTGTGATGCGTACATTGAAACGGAACTAATAATTTCACGCGTGATTGTTATGATTGCGGAAGCGTAATTGTTTTGTATGAATCACCAAGGTTCACGAGATGTTGGGCGACGTGAAGAGCGTCTTCCAGGAGATGGTGGCCGACCTGGACTGGATGGACGCGCCCACCAAGGCGGCCACCCTCGACAAGGTCAAGGCCATGAAGTCCTTTGTCGGCTTCCCCGAGTGGCTGCTCAACGTGACGCTGCTCGATGAGTACTACGAAGGGGTAAGTGACTGCGGAGTCAAAGAAAATTTGCCAAAGAGAAAAGAAACCACAAATACATACTTTTGTTTTGTTTGTTGAAATCATTAGATCAATATGACAAGCGATGCCTTTTTAGACAACATGCTGCAGTTCCAGGACGCCTACAGCGCGTGGACATTGGCCTCCCTGCGACGTAAAAACGAGGAAGACACGTAAGTTTAATCAATGCACTTTTTTTCTATATTTTTGACGGAGGAGGAAGAAAGGACAGAACATAGACATTTCTGATTGGTCACCACTAGCGGGAACCGCTCGATGAATTAAGTTTCTTTTTGTTTGACTCGCTTGTCTTCACCTTGCACCGTCTTACAAAGCTATAGTGTACTTAATTTTCTGAACACTAAAATACCTAATATTATTTTCTATTTTTCCTTAGCTGGGCAACCGACCCCACTGATGTCAACGCATTCCATTCTTTTCAGTCCAATGCAGTCAGTAAGTTCTTGTTTGTATGTGTTTTCCAAGAAATAACAGTGTCTTCACCTCTTAACTAGTAATTTCTCTTCCGCTACTCAGCAATACCCGCGGCGATTTTACAATTCCCATTTTATGATTTGGGCTTGGAGTAAGTAGAACTATGTGTGTTGCACAAGTTGTGATTCGTGGGACTAGAAATGCTTTCACTTAGTAATGGCCCGTTACAGGGGCAGGCGATGCAATTCAAGGGGATTTATTCTACACCAAGGAATCAATGCACAGCCGGGAAGTAATCCGACCCCTCCAATCTGCCTTCCCCTGTTCTCAACTGTCATTTGTTTTTGATTCCAGGGCGCTGAATTATGGAGCGATTGGGACTATTCTGGGTCACGAACTCACTCACGGATTCGACAGCTACGGTGAGGCACCCTGGGGGATGGCCGTTTCGCAATAAAAAATTTAAATGCCGACCCCTTACCCTTTACCTACTCCCTTCCTTTAATTTAGCACTTTGACTCCGTGTAGGTAGGCAACTCATCGTGCGCTTTCTCGAGACAAGAGACAAGCTGGCCAACTCAATTTAAGGGGGGGGGGGGCGTCAATACGTTTTTAGTAGAAAGTCTTCACGTTAAAATTAACCGTTCATTGAGTTTCATAGAATGAAATAATTCCTTCTATGAGAGGAAATACTTTTAATTTATTTCACTTAAATATGTAAAATGTCAGTAAACTGGCGACCCCTAGCGGAGGCTGGCAGCTGGCAGCGGTCGAGTCGGAGTCGGAGTCGTGCGATCGGTGCGCGTGTTTTGTCGGTTATGTTTCAGCGACGTGCATTTTCGTCGTGAAATAATGTCTGTCATCGCATTTGTGGATGTACAATTTTCTAACCGTATCTGTGGTGACCACCACTACCACCACGGTACTGCGTGTGAGCTCGGTTCCAACTGTAACCACTTACGCTGTATTTGAAGTCTACTTTAAGAGGTTATGATTCCCATTGTGTTTCAACACGCTGTTGTGGCAACTCTTCCGTCTCTGTAACATCACCACTGCATTGAAGAAATTTGTTGTGTTCTGACTAAAAATGATACTAAGGGTGCGTACCAGTTTCTGTCAGTTGAGGGCCGTTGAGGGTGCACATTTCTCTTACCAATCTTGTTTGCTAAGTTCTTCACTGTTGAGCCTAAAACTGAAACCTCCTTCTTACATTTTCTTGCAATAGGGCTCTTTCAATGGGTCCAAAATAAGCTTAGGTATTGTGAGACTGAGATTGGGTCCAACACGATCATTGTGACTGCGTCAGTCAGGACTGTGGTCGAGACATAGGTTCTTGATCCAAAGGGTAGCTGGGGGTTCGTACCATGTTCTTCCACAAGCACTGGTCCAATGCATGGGTTTCCATGATATCTCTGCTGGAAGCAGAAGATTGTGCTAATGAGCAACAAATCTGTTGTGTCAGTAACTTTCAATTGTCTGTCAGCGCAATTCGCAATAGCCCTTTGTGTATGCGCAATCAACTGACTTAATTTATTTGACGTGAACTTGCGGTAAGGTCATGATCCAGATTTGTCCACTTGGTCTGTTTGCACCTGTACAACTGGAACTGTAATTTGGTGGCTGCCGTAATCACAGATTACAAGAATAGTGTAAACAGAACTTGTCAATAAAACGCTGAAATTTCTTCATGTGCAGGACCTCCCCCACTCTCATGCCACTTTACATGGATCACAGCTCAGAGCGAGTTTCTGACCGTACCCTTGATTTAACCCTCACCCTCTACCCCTCCGTTTGCTTGCCAACAGGCCGGCTCTTCGACCGGGACGGCAACATGAGGCCCTGGTGGAGCAACGCCACGGTGGCCGAGTACGAGAACAGGACGGCGTGCTTTGTCAAGCAGTATGGAGATTACTTTCTTCCCGAAGTGGAGATGAACGTGAGTACGTAACGTTTGCTCAGGGCTCACGGCGTATAGTGGCGGCGGCGTGTTTGTCGGCTGCCCGGCTCGAGCTCAAGCAGGGGGCGGAACGGGCCCGGCGGCGCTGTGTAGTGCCGCTGGGGGGTCATGCGGGCAGCAGGCGCAGCTGCGGGAAATATTCATGGTGTTGGCGGAGGGAATGCGCAGAGATACCGGCCGATTAATATACGACAGCATTTTATGAATATTGTCGGGATTTTTATTTTTTGTGTCGAATTTTGTTGTTGTGGACAAGAGGGACGACTGTATGTGCCGATGCGGTTATTACGTTGGGGCTACTGCGACCCCCTTCCTCCCGGTCTTTTACCGGCGAGCCACCATCGCCCCGGTCCTGACCTTGCGTCCTCTCAGCTCTCCACTAAACCCCACGGCAAACTTTACGACGAATGTTGACATTCGCTGCGATGGATGTACGCGGGGGGTACGGCGGCGAGGATGACGGAGGGGTACGAGCCTGGGGGGCGTGGAGGGGTAGTTGACGTTATGCCCGACCGCGCCACCCAACACAGGCTGGTCGTGGTGGCCGCCGTTGGCTGACCGCCGCCGGGGGCGGGCCCGGGGGCGGGCCCGGGGGCGGAGGGGCTGTTTGTCGAGGCGATGGGGGAGAGGAGCGCGCTGGCAGGCCAATATCTCCCGATGAGCCGGTCATCGACGGTCATGTACTACTTTGTGAACAAGTTTACCCCCGCAAACCTCTCGGGCCGTCCCGCAAGTTCAACACGCGGACGATGGGGAACTTTTCGGGGCGGAGGAGGGAGCGATTTTGGGGGGTAAGCCTGCTTAACGCCGCGCTTTGTCTTCCCCGGGCGGCGCGACCGCGGGGCCCGCAGGTCGACGGGGAGCTGACGCTCGGCGAGAACATCGCGGACAACGGCGGCATGGAGGAGGCGGTCCGCGCCTACCGCCGCTACGTCCGGAGGCACGGCGTCGTCGAGCCACTGCTCCCGGGCATGGCCAACTACAGCCACGAGCAGCTGCTGTTCCTCGCGCACGCCCACGTGAGTGTGAGGAGCTACAGCCACGAGCAGCTGCTGTTCCTCGCGCACGCCCACGTGAGTGTGAGGAGCAGGGACCAGTAACATAACAAATTAAAAGTTATTTTCTCGGAGTTTTCCGTTACGTTACCGCACCAAAAACTTAATTGAACATAGAGTGAGTTCCATGGTACGTAACAGTAAACGAATAAAGTTACATTTTGTACAGTTCCATTTTTTGTAACGTTACAAAATACGATCCAGACCGTGCTTCTGAGTTATTATGTTCGTTACAAATGTAAAGTTACTCAAAACCGATGCAGGTTGTTACGTTACATTCTAGAGGTACGTTCTGTAACGTTACAGATCTGAACTGTCCCAGAAAAAAACAGATGTACCGTTACGAATAACGGAACAATAACGGCCGCAAAAGTTACGTTACAAAGATTTCCCAGTCGGACAAGATTGCAGGTGCCACGTCCACGTCTCCGCGGGCGTCTCGGGTCTCGGGCTCGATGTCTACCACCACCGCCTCGACCCGGAGCTACACCTACGCCCTCCCGAGAGAAACGGCTGAATGCACCATGGTCTTCGCCTGGATTGTGGCTGGCTGCGCAGAGAATCCCCTGGTCTAATCCATAGTGATATGAACTAATGCCTTCCAGAGCTCTGCAAAAGTCGCCTCGTCTACCGACCGAGCTCGACCGGCAGGCGGTCGCCACCGACCGCGTTCAGGTGAGAGGTGAGGAGAGGAGCACCCGCTCTGTCTCCCCCCCTCACATCTCACCTGCACGCGGTCGACGAGGCGACTTTTGCAGAGCTCTGATGCCTTCCTCCGCCAGGGCAAATACAGTCAATACCGGAGCAGCTCAAAGAAAGAAACTTAAAAGCATCTCGGTTGCCCAGCGTCGAACCCTCGACCTTGAGGATGCCTGGCCCATACGCTCTCCACTGGACTATGGAGCGCATTGATGGTGGCGACGGGCAGCGCACCGCTGCCTTCCGCTCACGAATTCCTTCCGGCAAGCGGTGGCCAGCGGCGACCGGCGAGCGAACCAGACTGGTGCGCTGCCCGCACTCTCCAGCGATCCGCTCTGGTTCAGTGGAGAGCGTGTCGGGCAGCTGCTCCGCAGTCGGGGGTTCAACTCCGGGCAGGGGAAATGCTTTTCTTTGAGCTGCTCCGGTCTTGACTGAATTTGCCCTGGATGCGGAGGAAGGCGAAGGCATGGATTTGTTCCTATCACTCCCTGTGGCTCCGGGTCGAGGCAGTGGTAGGTGGTGATCGAGCTTGAGGCCCAAGTCGCCCGCGGTGGCGTGGCGTTGGCACAATCGTCGGGGGAAAAAGTTTTGTAACGTAACTTTTGCGGCCGTTATTGTTGTGTTATTCGTAACGTTACTTATGTCTTTTCGGGGACAGTTTCAGACCTGTAACGTTACAAATTGTAACAGAGTGGCTTTTACCATTTCATGTCGGTACGATTCGTAACGTTACATCTCAAAGTTTGTTAAAAGTTCGTTCCATGAAACGTTTTCTTTGGAACCGGCCCGAACTGGTTACAAATTGTAACCAAACCGATGATGGACCAGTTCTGTTACCGTTATTGTACCGTAACGACAAAGAGAACGATACTGATCGGTACACTATGTATTTTGTAACGTAACGCCAAAGTGTATGTTACTGGTCCCTGACGGGGTGCCGCTGCTCCTGGGCATGGCCAAGGACACCCACGAGCAGCTGCTGCTGTTCCTGGCTGCTGTTCCTCACGCACGCTCCCGTGAGCGTGAGGGACTCGGTGCGGAAGGCTGCGCGTGCCAGCGGCGGGCATCCTTTGGTCATCGTCCTGGTCCTGGTGGCGGGCCGAGCGCCTGCTGTGTAGGCTCGCCCGGCGCGCACTGCTGCCCGGCGGCACTGCCCATCCTGGGTGCCACCGGGCGGCGAGGGGGGCGCTCGCCTCGTCGTCGAGGACGTCGTGCGGGCGTTCTGTAGACGTTCTGTAGACGTTCTGTAGACGTTCTGTAGACGTTCTGTAGACGTTCTGTAGACGTTCCGTTGACATTCTGTAGACGTTCTGTAGACGTTCTGTGGACGTCGCGTGGTGGACGTTGACAGCCTCGTTGCCTGCTGCAGGTGTGGTGCGAGACGTGGACGGCCGAGTCGCTCGCGTGGTCGCTGGAGGACGAGCACGCCCCCAACCGGGTGCGCACCTGGGGCACCATCAGCAACTCGGAGGACTTCGCGCGCGCCTGGTCGTGCCCCAAGGGCACCGGCATGAACCCGGACCGGCCGCGCTGCCGCCTGTGGTGACACCGACTAAGTGTGTTACTGCCCGCATGTATTCCACCGCCATAAATAAAGTTTGTAATTATTTCAGTTATTGCCGTCTGAATTGACTACTTTCAGTCTAACAACAGAGTGACTTCATGTTCATTTTAAATTTAGAAAGAGAGGGAGAGAAGGGGGAAAAGGCGGTCCTGTTCCATGGAATGGGCCGCGCAGGTTAATTAACTACTGGCCTCTGCGATCGAGGACTAGACCACGAGGGGGGTGAAAACGTCGATACAAGAAATTAAGAGAAAGCGAGAGAGAGCGAGAGAGAGCGAGAGAGAGCGAGAGACAGAGAGAGAGAGAGAGAGGGAGCGAGAGAGAGAGATCCTGCTGCCCATACAGTATTATTAACCTATTCATTGCCCTGCTCTGCACGGCCGACCGCGGCGCCGACGCGGTGACCGCGGAAGAGAGCCGACCCCCTCCCGGTGGCGCCGCCGCTCTCCGCGTCCCCGTCGTCCACCCCTTCCACTTCCAGGGCTCCCCTTTGGGGCCCAGCCGAGCCCCGCCCCCGCCACGCCCAGGTCAGTAAAATTTCAACCCCAAGCAGCAGGGCGGGGCGGGGCGGGGCCAAGCAGTGGCGGGGCGGCCGAGGGGCGGCTCGTGACGTCAAACGATCGTGATGATATGATGGCCCCTTGCGATGGCCGGAGGCCAGAAGAGCGACGCCGCGGTGAAAAATGCATGGATGTGTCTGTGGCGCGCACCCCTACTGCTGCCGCTGCTGCTCCCCCAGCGCGGCGGCGGCGGCGGCGGCGGCGGCGGCGCGACTGTGGACGACTTATTGAAAAGGGTCAAGACCGGGAGGCCGCGAGCTGCGCGCCATCACCGAGGCAGGGCACGATGGGGCTCGGCTGGCGTG